GCGAGAAAGTTAAATGTCGAACCACTAGACGAGTCGCGCTTCTCTGTGGAATGTGTACGTCATACGGCATACATGGTAGATTTGACTAATGGAACATGCAATTGTAAACATTTTCAGTTAGAGAGTTTTCCATGTGAGCATGCAGTTGTGGTGGCTATGTATCGAGGATTTGCAGCGAGAACATTGTGCTCTCCTTATTACACTGATAAAAACTGGACAGCTGCGTATGTTGAAATAATATTTCCGCTTCCAAACGAATCCGAGTGAGAAGTTTTCGATCATATTCACCCGTTCAATACATTGTCGCCACCTTTCATTGAACCACGTGGTCTTGGACATCCAAGTACTTCTGTAATACCATCTACTGGAGAGCTTTCCCAACTGCGTAAGTGTAACAGGTGTAAATCAGTAGGACATACGTGTCAATTTTGTACAAGTCAGGTTCCCCTAAATGACAGTTAGAGCATTGTGTATTGTTGTCGATTTGAAATAAATAGTATTTACATCCGCATAATCAATAATCAGATTTCAGCTCGTATTTACATTGAAATAAACAATATTTACATCGGCATAATCAATATTCAGATTTCAGCTCGTATTTACATTGAAATAAACAGTATTTACATGAATAATTACAAACAATTGCGAAAAATAGTTATAAATAATAACAGAAAATAATTACAAATATTAATTACAAAAAATATTTACAAATAATTTATGGATCACAATTAAATTCATATAAATCATAGGCTAACTTATATCGCCAATTCTGTATTCATGACTGGTTGATTCCATCAACTTTATGTACTATACTAAAAAATTCTCTGTATTTGATTGCGAAAATCCCACAATCACCCCTGCAAATGAACAAATATGTGTTACTTCGGTTCCAATTACGACGAACTGATTACTAAATTAAAAAAAAAAGATTACAAAAACTTACAATATAAATTGTCTCGTTGTAGTCGTATCCCGTACGATGGCTAGTTTGTCTTCCACAATCAAGCCCGCTTGTCTAGCCATCAGAGGAATGATCACAGTCATCGGCTCTAAGTTCTGCTCGAGCTGCCCCTGTGTCAAATATGAATGATCGGCGTCGTACACATATATCGTCGAATCAGGGAACTCGATCTCCAGTGCATTGCAGTGCTGATTCACGATCACTGGAATGTATAAATGTGTACAACCCTCTCATGGCTTTCCCCTAACACTTAGTGACTACCCGATGACCTGCTCGAGCATATATGTGGGAAGCACGTACTCGTTATCTAGAAGTTGGAGCGACTGATACTCAATGGTAACGGCATGGAAGAACTCAGTGTTCAGTATTATTCGACCAAACTTGTGGAATGATTGTGGATATCTCTCAACTCGATTGCGCAACAAGGCCATGGCTATGTCGATGTGCTACATCAAAGAAAATAAAGAAATAAATACTTATTTCATTTAACAAATTAAACATAATGTCTACAAAAAGTAACAATAACACTTCACTTACATCGTCGCTGAGCCAAGCCCCCTGAGTGGTGATATCATGGAACGACTTGTATGCATCCGATACTATCCTTTCGGCTATCATGTGCGTGGATCTGAAAATAAAATAGAAAAGACGTTAAACGAAACATATAGGAGTTCTGGTAGTCTACTAAATCATGCAATACTTACCCGGGCAACATTCTTCGCCACTTAACCTCGAATGCTTTCAACTTGGCATGGTCGACCTCCTGAAACAAATTGGGGTACGTCCAGTCGACGAACCTCCTCCTCTTCACCTCAGCCGTGAAGGAAGAGACAACGTACTGTGACGACACTCTCGACCTCTTGCCGACAACCGTCTCCTGCATGTCAACAGCACGTTTTTTACCTTATACACTGTCACCTCCTCCATCCCCTCATCCGCCACCGTTTCTGTCCCCGACGGCACCACCGTCTTCCTCCCTGACGGGGCCCCCTCCTCTGCCACGTTCACGTCCCATCGCGTTCCACAGATAAAATAAATGATTCACATGTATCACCATCATGCATGTACGACTGCCGGAGACCCTCATCTCTGTCACCCTCTCGATCACCGTCTCCGTTAACCCACCGCCTATCGGTTCTATCACCTCGAAGTGCTGCAATTTCATTCGACAAATCTTTGACCCTTCCTACCAACTGTCGTCCCAGATCGCCAACCATCTCTATCATCTCTCAACGCGGCCCATTGGCCTGCTCCGCTATAAATCCGCTCAGACGGGCATACAGATCATCGAAACAGTACCCCTGTCTATGTGCGGAAGATCCACGGGAAATGTCTTTGGACGGGGGAGGCGAAGGAGATACACTCGGCGACGGAGGTGGTGATGTCCTCGACGGAGGTGATTGTGTCGATCAACTGGATCAGGCTCCTACACAAGCAACAACATTACAAATTATTAACTTTATTCGTAATTGTTAACTCATAAAAAACGATAATCAATATATTTTATTCAATTTGCTCACCCAATCTCGATCGTGGGTCAGACAGACATTTGGTCGTCTTAGGTGTGCGAAAAGCCTAATTCACGCACAAAACCATGGGCCTTCTCCTCCATCGACGGCGTCAACTGAGTTATGACTTCAAGCTAACATCTTGATAGTTGAATTAGTTAACGATAATATAATCAGACGTTAAATCGCACACAATATAAATTAAAAATGCATAATACTCACCTGAGGGTCGTCGACGATAGTCGATAACTGTTTTCCAGTAGGACATCCCTTCAATCGAGATGCTCTTTAATGGTGCATTCGAAGGCAACGTGTCTTCCCTGTCCTCGCAAAGCGGGTACCCATTAGGGGGACAGTCTCATACGCCCAGATCTGCAACACATACAATTATTGTATACAAATTCAATTGGAAGATAATTTTAACATTCATTATATTAACTATTTACCTGCACTGCTAGGGGCAATTCATAGGTGTCGTACTTACGCATGGCTCCCTTCGGCTTCGAGTGCGATCTTGTGAAGACGTTTACGGTGTCCTCGAAACATCTCCGGTCCCACGGATAGTCGTTGAAACGATCGATTTCGTCAACGATCTCTAAATAGAAGAGGTCGATCACAGTATTCTTGTGGTGACATCGTACCACGCTCTCAAGGATGTAGACCAGACCTAACTTCAGTCTGTTTAACAACTGATCACACCTCCTAATTGCGTTAAATAGTTGTGTAAGAAACACAGTTCCCTGTCCCTCGAAATAAGCGTCAAGAAGCTTATTTCTTCTCTGAGTCCCATCACCAGCTGCTTCATTGCCCGTAATCTTTAATCCTGTGATTAGAGCAAACTCGAACATTGAAAAACTGAAAACTTTACCCCCGATTGCGAAGTGGAAGGGATCGCCGTCGACTGGACTTAGCAATCGACATAGAAGTGTATCAATAATCTGACCCAAGTACTGCAGATCTCTCAACGGGTACAAGGGTCACAGGAAAGACTGACGCATCATATCATCATGCCGATCATCGAGCAGCTCTAACATAACAGTGAAACTGTCAAAGCTACTATTCCACGTAGCTTTGCCTGGCATCTGTCTCAACTCTGCGTCAAGGTGATAATTCATCCTGTAAAAATTCAAAATGTTATAACATTGTACAACTGATAATCGAATAAAACATAATAACATAAAATTTAGTGAACGAAATTGTAACTACAATATGCAAGACGCAGATTCATAATAATTAAAATCTCTATAATGTAAATTTGTGTATCTTATTATCAATAATGTCAATTTTTCCCAATTATCAATACTTTTTAATCAATTGAAGTTCAAAAAATATTTAAATTCGATGAACAAAAAGAATATTATTAATCAAAAACTAATAATAAAAATAAATATTAAATTTCAAATTAAATTTTCAACAATTATTTCAAATTACAATTAAAAAATTAATTAAATTTGATGAACGAAAAGAATATCATCCAAAACTATTAATAAAATTAAAAGTAAAAAATTTATTTAAATTCGATGGGGTGGGTGAAGAAGGAGATGAATAGTATTTTTTTGTTTGTTTTAGTTATTTATTTTAATTGTTTTATTATAGGGTTAAGTACTTTTACTTTTTTACCCTTTTCAATTAGTCAAAAATTGGTCAATATTTAATTTTATTGGTCAAATGGACGGTTTCCATCCATTTGGACTTCGGGTGCTTATTTTTGAAAGGTTTGATACCTCCAGCGGCACAAATTAAATGTTTGGGCAAAGTCTGCTAATAAACGAAAGATTTGATTTTTTGTCTGCAATTTTCCCAAATAAATATTAAATTTAAGTTCACAATTAAAATAATTATTTCAATTCGATGAATGAAAAAAATATTATTTATCAAAATGAGGAAATAAAAATAAATGTAAAAATAAAAATTAAATGTAAAAATTTTATTTAAATTTGACGACTAAATGATTTATTATTTATTAAAAATTAATAATAATAATTATTTAAAATTAAATTACTAAATATATGTAAAAAAGAAATTGGGCTGAAAAAAAAGTGGACTGCCAGTTAGCCCACTAAGTTGGGCCGGCTAAACAGTCAGTATGGATCAACTGTTAATAGTCGGCCCATAATGACTGTTCAATAGTCGATTTTTCCCAAGCCCTTTTCTCGTTGGAAAATCTCCATCTCCGATGAGAAAAGCTTCCAAATTTACAAATCTACCGCTAAAACACTAGCTAAACCCCATATTACATATATAAACAACGATATATTGGAAAAAACTCCCACAAATGAATCATTCACACATTTTATCAATATCTAAACATTAATACAAACAAATATTCAATATAATAATGGTTACCTTAATAATAAATAGTTCGTCGGCGATGGAGTAGCAAGTTCTCTGACCGATTGGAAACCGATTATTTTTTTTTTTTTCAATTTTGTGCGACTGCTGAGCAAATGAAAAAAGGATAGCCAAGGGATATTTTGAGATTTTGAGTTTTAAATTCAATTTTCCTTTTTTTTTTTTTAATTAAAAAGACAGTGGTCACTTTGGAAATACACGGGTTATACGGTCATTTGCAACAATATCCTCCTGAAGTCCTCTGTAAACTACACGTTTTTTGGCAAAATTCCGTAGTTTGGTGGTTAGTGAAGATGAAGGAAGACATGGTGAAGCTGATAAGCGCCGAGGGATTCGAATTCGTTATCGATAAAAAGGCCGCCATGGTCTCTCAAACAATACGGAACATGCTCACCTCTCCAGGTCGATCTCCAGTGAATAAATACATCCGAAATCATATAATAACTATATGGGTTTTGAATTTTCATTTTTGTTCGGAAAGTTGACGTATTTTACTTCTTCGGTTCCGTATTGAATGCCGTGGATTTGGTTTTTCTTCTGAAATCGACGTACTATTTGGTGCTATTTACGTATTGTCTGTTTAATATTTTAATTTATTATGTTTTAGTCTTCTAATTTTACCCTACATGAAATATATTATGCTGGTCAGAGAACTGGTACTATGAAATGATGCTTCCGGTTCACTTTATTCGATTGATTTGAGATTTTGCAGTTTCTATAAAAATTAGGTTTTTGAAAATTAATTTTGATATTTGTGATTCAGTTCGCTATTTTGGATTCGATTTGTGTTTATGACATCTTGACAAAACTTCTAGGGAAATTATAGAATGGTAATTCTTTGTTCTTATAAGATTGTGTTTGTGGTGAATTTATTTAGGGAGCTTTGCTGAAACGGAGCATGGAGAAGTGACTTTTCCAGAGATAAGCACAACCATTTTGGAGAAGATTTGCCAGTACTTTTACTGGTCTCTTCAATATGCTAGGTAATTGTTTTCCCCTCAATTTCATTTTTTAATTATTTTGCTTTCCCAGGACATTACAATTTTTTTATGTAATTGTTTAGGGTCAGAGTAAATCTGATCATGTCTTCTTTTGGGCAATACTACTATTGGCGTTTTGCTTATTTTTAGATTCCCATCTCTCACCTAAAGAATTTGAACTTTCGATAGTCATTCTACGGGTGTCTGCTATGGACTGACACATGGGTAACACATGACGCTTTACTCTGGGATTTCAACGAATGACATTTGATTTGGATTCCCGTAGGTTCTAATGCATAGAACTTTCAAAAATAACGAAGCAACCCGTGGAGAATGTTCAGAATTTATGAACTAGAGTATGTGATGAACGAACATGATATTGAATAAACATTGATTACATGGATTTGCTAAGCATAGAAATTAAAGATCGCAAAATTTATATTAGCAGATGTTCTCTTTTTCCGTCACAATCACATTCTGTTCACATCTTTCCTCTTTTGCATGATTATTAATCTGCTGTTTTATAAAGTGCCTTAGAATTACGTCTTTAGGTACATATCACGGCAGAATTTTATTATTGCCCCTAGTTTACACCTTGTATGCTTTATTAAAAATCTAAATTTTTTATAACTAGCCTTAATTTGGTTGGGTTAGTTCTTTTTACACCCTAGAATGTTTTGTGCTTTCTTGGACTATATTAGACACACCTTAAAATTAGGGGAAAAAAAGTATTGAGAGAGATAAGAGAGCAAGTGTGCTCTAGCTACCTACGACTGAAGTGCTATAAATTTGTATCTCAAGTGTACTTTTTAGCAGTAGAGGACACATAACTTCATTCATTTCTTAAAAAGATTGAACCCTAAACCGTTCTGCCTCTAAAGTTTTGTGAGGGAGATAAATCGCGGGATGTGCCCTAGTAGGCCAAAGAACAAGAGCTGCCTGTACACTGCGCCTACAAGGAGTCCAATTCCATGTTTCAGGAATCGACCCCCACACTGTGGCTGCCAACAAGGCGTGAGATAACCTTACTCCTGTCCTTTGCACTACTAGGCTATGCCCCGGGGGGCTTCATTCATTTCTTCATATTATTCTTGCTGTTGTGTTCTCTTTCTACTGCACTTATGGGAAAGGGAAGGAGAATGTTCCACTGCAACTCTGCAAGTGGCGGATGAGGTAAAACCGTAAAAGAACAGGGAGAAACTGACCTTGACAGGGCAGTAGAGGAATCAAATATTTTGATGGTTCTCTTAAAGGGTTAATCTGGACCGGGGCCTGTCCCCATAGCACAACCCTCTTTTAAATATCTATTACCGTTAATGATATGGAAGACTTCTAAATTATAATTTTGTTATGTAATTACTAATTTTATTACTTGTTATTAATTTGCTAATCAATTGGTAGTGTGATTGTTTGCAATTTTAACCTTGAAAGATAGTTCAATGGTCAGGTCTTGGGTTTGCTCCCCAATGATCATCAGTTCGAGTTTTCTTGAGGCCATTGAGGTGAGTATCCAGCTATAAACTTCATGGCCCCGTGGGATTAATCGAGGTGCGCGTAAGTTGGTTCGGACACCCATGATCATAAAAAAATAATAATAATAATAAATTTGATTGTTTGCAATTTAGAATTTTAATTTTATCAATTTGTTTTATAACCATATATATATATATATATTGATCTTCCATCGACTAGTAAGCGCGCATATGTGGGTGAATGTTCTGCCACGGAATTGTAGGTGTTTCCTGATGGGGACGTACTCCTTTAATTGGCAATTTGATGGCTGAATTTGTATCAGTTTCGAGGTGTTGACCTGGAAATTTCATTGCTGTGTGTAGAAAAACTGGGGCTATCTGTGTTATTTGTTTCTGCAGTCACATTATCACGATATTATATTCATCCATAGTACTAAGTCATATGTTGCGTGCAATGTGTCAAGTTCAGTGTAGGTCTACATCTTCTAGAAGTAATTGTGGAAGGTCTACGTCGGAATGCAGTTTATGAGCCTTAACATGGCTAAATTTCGATTTGTGTTTGTGTAGATAAAATTTTGAGCACAACTTAAAGTCATCATTATCGCAATAATACATTTAATACTTTTTTGTTCTTGCCCTTTGATAATTTCTATTTGAATTCATTACATACCTATTTGTACGGTATCCATACTCCGCAGTGGGAAGGAGACTGAGTTCCACATTGAACCTGAGCTGACCTTGGAACTTATGATGGCTGCTAATTACTTGCATACTTGAACTTGCACCACTTGTTTTCTGGGCAATGACTTCTCTTTATCTTTGTAAGTCTTCTCCTCATTAGACATCTCTCCTGAATGCTATTTCGCGTATATTTTTAATATCTCTTTTACCTGTCCAGAAAAAGGAGAAAAAGCTTCTCTCTCGTATATGGCTTTCAGTTGTGCTGTAAATTTATCGATATGTATTAGTCTTTCTGATTCTTTCATCCTCACCATTTCCTCAATCATTTCTGTCAGGGTAGATATAGGGAGACGATTTTGCGCCTATCCAGAAAATCAGTGTGCCAAAGTTTGATACCGTCTTTAAATTAGACGGTTTGACATTATATTTTAATGTTGTCATTGATTGCCCCAAGAATTTTCATATGAATGACTTGAAATAATTGGAGACATTTATATAGACATTCTAATTTCGTATTGGATGAAGTTATTGTGTTGTATATATATACTCGATTTCTAGAGTTAATTTCATTCACAATCACTGTACTTTGACCCATTTGTCAATTGAGTCGATGTACTTCAATTTCAATAAATTGAGTGATTACGCTGTAATTTGGTTCACGAATGGTACTATTAAGTTCAAATGGTCGTCCTACGCCGCTGTTGCGTTGGTAGCATTTCGATGGTCACACAGGATAGCTATTCATATTTTATGGCCAGTCAACTGTCGTTACGAAATGGGATGAAGTTAAGCTTATGAAATTAAATTAAAATGTAATGACTCAGTAAGTGAAGTATAGCGATCAACTTGACAATTGGGTCAAAGTACAGTGACCGCAAATCGTATTTACCAAATTTCCATAATTATCTTATCTTTTAATATTGATTCCAAATAGATGTTACTAGTGGAAGGCTTAGGGCATGATTAATCAATAGAGTAAAAAGGTATTTCTATTTAAAAATAAAAAATAAAAATATTTGAGTAGTTTGCCTTTGTCCCGTAAACATTCTCAGTGATTTGTAATCTTGGAAGGTATGTTCCAATTCTTTGCGATCTCCCTTCTAGCTCGATTAGAATACAATCAACCATTCGTCTTTGTTATCGACCTAGTCGTATTAATTAGCATGATACTTGACTTTAGTGCATGACAATTGACCATGTTGACTCTATTTCAAATATCACTCTACATGTATCATACTTTCCGTAATGAATTTCAAGAGTCGTAGGAAAAAGTAGATAAAATCAAAAGAGTAGGAATATCTTTTTAATTTGAATGAATCAAGTCGTAATAGCTTTGATATCACCTGTATACTACTAGATTAGAATGACTAAGGAAACATTTCCAAATGGAAAAAACTTTTACAATAATTGAAATGAAAAACTAAATATAACCTTTTTCATTTTTATTTTATTTCCCTAAAATAGAGTCCCCTAAAATAAATCTGGCCTTTGAATATTCCAAATTGAATTTTGTCCAGTTGAATTTAACGCTTCAACCAAAGCGCCCATTTTGTGAAGGCGAGGAAAAATAACCACCGCCCCTCCGCAACCACCACCGCCGTTTCTTTGTTTTCAATCCCTTAGAAAACATTGAAACTTTGCAGCCCGGTTGTGAGGTTTTGAGAATGGGGTTGGCCGCCGCCTAGTGGGTGTTACAGAAAGCAGGGGCTGATTCGGACGTTTAGTACTATGGGGTCAAAATTTTAAAAATAATTTTGTTAATAAACAACATAATATCAATGAAAATAAGTTTATATGTATTTTGACACTTTAAAACATTGTATAATTACATCATTATTAATATTATTAAATAAATTTTGCTACTTGTATAGTTTTGTTTATCATTTCATTGGCAAATGCTGAACTAACATTGAGTAAATTAAATTGAATATAGAAATTGAATGTATTAAAATAAAATTCAAGTTTAGTTCAGGAAATAAATGAAATTCAAATTTAAAACAAATATAATTTGAAAGTAATTCAAATTGCATTTAATCAATAACGATCCTAAAAATTTTAGGTCATATTTCATGTAAGACTTCCAAATGAAACGATATAAATTATATTGAACAATTTATCGAGCAAAAATAGTAATTAATTGAATTTTTTAAAAGAAAAAACGAGTTAGACGTCTTTTTTGAGGCGTACGTTTGATACATATTTAACTATTTTTGATATCCGTTTGGATCATTCGATATGAAAACGATGTAGTTTTTAAAACAAACTTTTACATGGCATAGACGATTTATGGATTCAGATAGCACATGATCGCAAACGAATTTTTAAAGGTAGAATATTATCGAAATTATGAAAATACTAGTTTCAATAGCCTTACTTTAACATGTCATAACTTTTGTTGTAGTTGACAACTTCGTATGCCATTAATGAGTGAAAAACTAGGCCATGAGCATTTCGAACTGGTATTAAGAATGCAATATTTTGACTTTATTTGACATCCCGACGAGTGCATCAAAATAGATTGTAAAAAAAAAAAAAAAAAGGCAAAATTCTGTGGGATCATTTGATTCCATGTGGGTCCGCCCCTGACAGAAAGAGACAAAAATATGGGAATATATATGGAAATAACCTTTTTAAAAGGGTTACTTTTCCAAAATGACCCTTAGGCAATTTACATACCAAAAATACCCTCCATTTGGATATTTCATAACAAGGCATCATAATATAAATTTTTTTTATTTTAGTCCTCAAAATTAAATGTCGGTTGAAATTTGATCATTTTTATTTGATTTATTTGATTAATATTTTTATTTGATTTAATTGATTTTTGTTCGCTCTAAGTAGCCCCCTAATTGGTATCAGAGCCATAGAGACCATGGAAATTAAAATAAGAAAAATAGATAATAATTGGTGTTTAGAAGAAGAAAAAGCTAGTTATATATTTTTAAAACATATTCATAATAAATTAAAAATAATGACTTTGACAATAATTAAAGAACTTCCTAAAGAAATAAAGGAACAAATATTAGAAAATTAATAATAGAAAAAATAAAAGATATTTATACATATAAAAAATTTATTAATATATATGAAGATGAAGAAAATAATTTGTATTATAAAGAAAAATATGAGTTTAATTGATAATACACATCAAAAATTGAATAAATTACTTTTAAAAATGGATAAAATACAAGAAAAAATAAGAAATATAATGTTAGTATCAGAAGAAATGAGAATATCAAAAAATAGACAATTAACAAAATTAAAATGTGAAAGACTAAGACTTGAGAGCAAATATTTCACTATAGTAAAAGAAGAATTAGTAGATCCAGAAACAACTGAGAGAAGATTTAGAAAAATAATAGATAAAAAAAGAAGATAAAAAATGCAAATTAACTTATGAGTTAGAAATAAGAAGAAATTAAGATGTTAATAAGTGAATATATGAAAGAATTAAAATCATTAATAAAAATGTTAATAAATGATGTACAAGATTTGAGAAATGAAGTAAAAGAAACAAGAAATGATATAAATATATTAAAAATTGAGATTAGAGAATTAAAAGAAAAGAATAAAGGTAAGAAAATATATAAAAAAAACTTATAGAAAAAGAAATGACTCGAATAGGAAAGAAATATATAAAAAAAAGAAAATATAGTAGTAGAAACAGAAAGCATGGATGATGAATTTAGAAAAAATATATTACCAAAGATATTAGAAGAAGAAGAAGAAGAATTTAGAGAAAAATCATTAGGAAAATTAAAAATAGAAGAAAAAGAAGGAAAATTAAAAATAGAAGAAAAAGAAGATAAAAATAAATGAAGAGTTAGATTTATTAATAGAAAATTTTGATTAATTAAGCTTAACTGATATAAGTGAATACCAAATTTTAATGAATATTGGAGGAGGACATAATCCAACAGGAACTTCTAAACAAGAATTACATGATACAGATCAAAGTTATACACCCATATATAATAAATCATATAGACAACTTTATGATAAAGTAAGAGATAAACAACCATCTAAAGGAAATAAATATAAAGATATGTTTGAATTAAATGATAATTATGATAAACCAATTAATCATAGAGGAACAAAACTATATTTAAACTATAAAATAGATACTAAAAAAGTTTTATTAACTTGGGCAGACTCGATGATATTATTCTTTTTATATAATAAAGATGACACATAGGAAAATACTGAAAGAAGAATAGATTTCTTAATAGCATCATTTGAAGGGGATGTTAGAAATTGGTGGGAATGAATAAGTAATGATACAAAAATATTAATAAAAAGAAATATACAAATAGAAATAATTAGATCAGATAGACAAGGTATAGAAAAATTATTGGAATATATTTCTGATAAATTTTTAGGAGAAAATTGGATAAGAAATGCTGAAAGAGAATAAATAAGAGAAAAAGATAGTGCTAGGATTAAATTAATAAATTTAACAATATGTGATATGTGTAAAATTAAAGAATATACTTGTAAATTTAGAAATTATTATTATGTTCAATTTTATAGTAATGAAAATCAAGAAGTATACCAAGATATGTACTATAATAAATTACTAGGTTCTTGGAGAATATATTTTAAAATAGAATTTGAAAAATATGTTAGAAATAATACTGGAATACCTAGAACTTTAGGTTCAACAATAAAATTTTTATTTGAAAGACTTACATATATATGTCAACAAAGACAATTAATAAAAAAGTCAGGAAAATTAACTAGAATATGTTGTGAAAATATGGAAATCCCTGTGTAATGGGAATGTAATTCTGAAAGAAGAATTAATAAAAGAAAATATAAAAATAAAAAGTTTAAAAATTTTAGATATTTTAATAAAAAATATATAAAATTTAGAAGAAGATATTACAAAAGAAAAAATAACTTATATAACCAACAGAAAAATAAGAATTATAAGAAAAATAAAAGCCAATGTAAATGTTGGAATTGTGGAGAAATGGGTCATATAAGTCCTGATTGTGATAAAAAGAAAGTTAGAATATTATAAAAATAATATTTAGAAATAAAAGATGAATTAAGTGAAATATCAGATATTGAAGAAATTATGATCAAGAAATATATATAAATGAAATAGAAGAAGATGAATCAGGATCTGAATAAAGAGATTGAAAAAATAGAAAGTAATAATATAAACATACAAGAATATGAAGGAATAGAAGAATATGAATTAAAAGTCACTTTTGACAATAACAAGTTTAGAAAATTGCAAAAATTATCATTAGACTTAAAAATAGAAAAATGGAAAGTCTTTGATAGAATTTGGAAAGGAGAAAGTATAGCAATAAACGAATATCACAAAATAGAAAAAATCATAGATGTAAGAATAACTTATGGGCAATATAAATTAAATCTTTTAACAAGTAATACAGTTGATGAACTATTAACAAAGATTAGTAAAAAACAAAGTGAAAAAATTTAATATGTTTATTTAGCAGGAATACAAATAATGTTTAAATCACTATTTAGAGAAGTGATAGATTCACCCTTAACTATAACTTTACATGATGGAAGAATAATAAATTTAAAAGATAGTCATTTAGGAACAATAGAAAGT